AGCAACAGCAATGGGCTGCCCTCCTCATGCGCTGGAATTGGACAGCGCGCCCGCTACAACCGCGGCTGGAATGGCATGGCTTGTGGGGTCAGAGGGAGATCCACCTTCAACTGCTCTCCCGGTTGGTGACAACTATGCGTTGGTTACTCTGCAGAAAGGCCTTCCCCAGAGACGTGTTCAAGTGCCTTAGTGCGCACCCCTGAAGACAAAGCGTCACATCATACATGACGACGGTGAGCCGCGCGCAACTGATAGTGACCCTTGGGTCACTGGGTCGGACCCATGGGCCCGAGGTGCAACAGCCTTCAAACCACCTCCCGGGCTGCCAGCCCATGGCGGACACAAAGCCAAGCCAAGTTGCAGGACTTTGCTGCGGCGCAAGAGGATCGCTTCAAGAAGCTGGAGGTTTCAATCACAGAGCTGGTAATGCAGAATGAGAAGTTCGAAGGGTGGTTTTCTTCATTCGGAAAGAAGGTTTCAGAGAACTCTTCCCAAATTGCCGCCATTGACACCAAGCTTGAGGCCCAGCAAGTCAACCTGCCAAGGTTCACACAGAGGTCTCCCGCACCGCAAAGGTTGTGAACCAATCGGTACAAAGAGCTGGAGCTCCAGGCTCAGACGCAACAGCAAACGGCACTCCTCCCGTGCGCAACCTTTCGCCCATTCAAATGGTTACTGTGGTTGGCATTTGAACCAATTTCCTTGCGCCAACCTCTGCATTTTAGTTCCCTGTTCCTTGCTATCCTAGACTCCTGCTTCTCGGCGCCCCCAACCCCTTTGGCCTCCGTCAAAACACGGGGGCAACCGTCCCCACCCGAACAAACAGTTCCTGTGAGCTGGTAGTTGGAGCGGGGTGCTCACTGCCTTGGATTTTCTGTCAAGGCCCCTTAGCTTTTCATGAGAACATGGGGCATACCAAACAGGTCGTGTGCAGTTGGTGCAGCACTACATTGGTAGCTTGATTCTGATCATACCCGGATGCTCGGGAGCGCGCAGACCACTTGACACGTGAATTGGTCATGGGTGGCCGCGGCCCCACGAACAGGCAACAGCTCGGCTGGCTGGAAGTTCAGGATGCCGCAAGAAGGATGACATGCAAAGGCCTGACACAAAGAGATTACATTCTCCTCTCTCCGGAAGCAATTACGCGGCTTCAAGATGTTTGGGTTCAGGGTGACTTTGCGGAGGACTCTAGTGTAATTGCTGGACTGAAGATTGATTGGGGTATCGGCTATACTCAGTCCTGGCCGCTCCCTGCGACTATAGCGCTTGGAGCGCGTCCTTCAGGCCCCGGTTATCGCTTGCCCTCAGCCCAGCCGTCCAGGTGAGGAGCCCATGCGTCATGGTCTCCTTTGTCTGGAGGTCTAGCAATGCACCGGCAATTGCGTCGATTTCAGAGCCTCCTGCACCCTCTAGGAGGCAACAAGCAAACCAGTCATGCGATGACATACCCTCTTGACCTTTGGCGTTCCATCCTCCAACTCACAGGTTTTGATGAAGGCTTTGTTGCCTAGTACTCCAAGCGCCAGATCAAACACCAGGGAATGCCCTTGCATCTTCCCCTGTACCTTCCAACCGCCTCCTTTGTAGAAAGGTGATTACAAGGCGAACTACCGCTGTTTTGAGGTGTGGAATGCACGCCAAAGGAGAAGTATCATTTCGTGATTTCCGCGATCCTTATCCCGAACAAGTAGAGACGCTGACCATCCACAAGCTCTACTCGGCACTTGCTGTGGATGTGCCATCCCAACAAGTTCTGCTCGATGAAGTGGCACGCCCCTTTGGCACGTCGATGGCCTTCCCGTTGAGGTTCGTACCTCAGAGGCAGCGTTAATCACCGTCTGCACTCCTTGTCAGACACAGGAGGGTAGGGAGCTGGATCAGACAGTTGTCATCTCAGAGACCGTAGATATTCTGCGTAAGTTTGAAGATTTTTTGCGCTAGCGGTGGAACAAGCCCGCCACGGTCCAACAGGAAAAGGGAAGACTGCAAGCTTTTGCCTCAGTCGTTTTTCCTAATTCCATTTGCCGCCAATCACAGTTGAGGTCTGGAAGGGGGTTCTTCCCAGTTGTGGCGCTGCCCGATTTGCGCAACATGACCGCGCCTGTCACTCAGCAGCTGTTAGACTTCCTGCACGCCATTGAGGCTGGTGAAACTTCATGGCCTGATCAGTGGCTAGTCGGCCGCGTGATCAGGCTCCTCAAACCAGACCGTGCGCCAGACGGGGTCAATTCCTACAGCCCAATTGTCATTCTCTCCATCATTTACAGGACTTGGGCCGCGGTCCGTGCGAGGCAGATACTTCATGCACTCCCTTGGCTATATGCCGGGAAGGGAAGCCACATCTTTTTGGTACAGCATCCAGCATGGCTGGATTCTCTACGGACCTCGGTGCTGGACCTGAGTGCTTACTGCAAACATGCATGCCCAAGGAGTGATTGCAGCAGGGACTTTAGCATACGAAGCAAACTGTGGCAAAAGCCGGCGTGATCCACCACAAAGGGAGGTTTCGAAATGACCTAGCCAATCTGCGACAAAACGCTGAGCAACTTGCTGAAGGGCCCATGCAACATGAGCCCATCAAAAGACTGCGTGAAGTGCTTCCAAGCATCGACAAGTGTTGAATGCTTGCGCAGCATGCGTCTTGTATCTTGGACTGTGCACCACAACTGAAAAAGGCCGGGGTCGGCTTCCACGTGACGGGAAATGCTGAGTCGCCACAGGGCATTAACACTGTAGTGACTGGATGCCTGAGCGCGCAACTTGACAATATGCATGGATGCAGGAAGGGGCCCAAGCTCGTGCAACGCTTGACCAGAAGCTGATTGTGAGTACGATTCTGAAATGTGAGAAGACCTCCCAACTCTCGGGCATGCGTGGCAACTGGAAAGCCCAAGACTTTGAGCTCTTTGCGGCATACGATTTGTCCATGTCAAGCTCCAAGGCAAGCAGCTCACAAACACATTGTGCCAAGCAAATGCCTCTGGCCACCACCGACGCGGAAGCAGCGGTATGGGCCCAGTTATCAATATTTGGGAAGGCCGACAAGCGAGGCTCATAAATCTCCATGTATCCGTGAAAGACCAAAACTGCAATACACATAGCACATGGACTGAAAGGATCACCTCAGGAAAACCGGAGGTGGCGCCAATGGCTTCACCCACACTCTGCCGTACCACAAAGCGTCTATGGAGCCCATCGAGAAAGGCAGCCCAAGGTCCAAGGACCCCTGCTGGAATGCCTAGGCGCGCGGCAACCCGAAACAAGGGCTGGCGAGGTAAATCCTGGAACGCTTTGATGACCTCAGATGCGAGAGTTGAACGGCATCGAGGGGGACCTATTGCACTTGGACACTGCCCATATGACGCCCTTGGATCTGGATCGGATGGGGGCCCTGCAGGCCGGGGCTTTTATGTTCAGGGCCCCGACACCGGGAACATCGGACTTGTTCCTGCCCTCTTTTTGTCGGGTGCCGGCCGGAAGGTGTCCCACTTGCAGAGCACTGGCATTCTATTCCAGATTGCTTGCGATGCCATCTCCTGCAGCCAACCCACATATTGGGGAGCTCAGAGCACACTTGCATGACCTGCCGGACTGCACCGGCTTTGCAAGCCGCGCCACAGCAAGTGGACGGCACCATGTGTTTACAGATGGGAGCTGCTTTCAGTGGGCATTCCCCAGCCTTGCATTAGCCGCTTGGGCTGCGGTGTGTGCCACCACACGCCATGTCATTGGTTGTGGACCAGTGCATGGAATTTCACAGACCACACCTCGAACGGAAATCATGGCGATCATTTGCGTTCTCAAGTGGGGCAATCTCACTGCAGGTAATGGTGACCATCTGGTCGGACGCCCTTCATGTCATTTAACAATTACAATTGTTTGCGTGATGATGGGGCGAATCATGACCTCTGGCAAGAAGTCGTCCAGCTTTTGTCTCTGACCTCAAGTGGCATGATCACCGTGCAGCACGTCCACTTGCAGCTGGATTCTCGACTTTTGGCCTCCCCTTTCGAGGATTGGCTGAAGTTCTGGCACGATTGGGCAGACACCGCCGCCGGAACGGCTAACCGGAACCGAAGTGTGCGGTGTACGGATGTACATGTGAGGGCACTTGAGTACTTCACTGCCACAGCTCAGTCTCTGCGAATGTGGCGCGATATTTACTTTGGCATTGCAGCGGGAACTTCAGGCACCTCCAGAGCATGAAGAGTTTGAACTCCCAGATGATGCAATCCTGTGGCATGATCGGCAGGAACCTGTGGAGTTGGTGCCGATGAACTGGGGCATTCTGACGGCTCGCGCGTGCCAGTTCTTGCCACATGACTTCGTGATGGAAGTACTGAATGCTTTCGTTTGTTTAGATGGTGGTTCATTGCCAGATTGTACAGTTTCATGTTTTATTTCGACCACAAACGTGTCTTTCCTGCAATCTGCCCAGATCGGGCGCTTGGAGGTCCGCCAAGGATGTTCCGTTTCGGCCAGCTTACGTGAATGCAGCTTTACAGTTGAGGCTTGTAGGTGAGGTTCTTACCACAGCAATCCGAATTACGGGGCTGGAGGCCTGTATTGTTTCGGATGTGGATGTGGATGTGGTTGAGTATGGGGTGTCCATGCCCATGGGTGGTTTGATAATGGGCTCTGCATCTGGATTGTTGGAGAAAGCACGCCAAAGACTGGCGTCTTCTGCTAAGATGAGACCAGTCCGTGATGGCGGACCTCGCTCTTCCTATCTGAGCTGATCCCAAACGTGGACTCTGCGCCGGCTTCACTGCATGTCCGTGCACCGGTGCGCTCAATGTGTGTGCTATTCTTCGTGGAGCGAAAACGCCTTCCAGCTTTTGCCAGGACAGCCATGAAGCCAGGCAGCTTGAGATTTACGCAGTGAACATCAGCAAAATGCGAATCACGGCCTTACTTCTTGGGAGTCTCACAACCAGAGCAGAGAAATTCTCAATTGAATCTGCATTAGTCCCTGTTGAAGAGGATAGGGATGTGTCCTGAGAGGGTTGCGAAGGCTTCGAAGCATTTGTCCACCAAAAAACCCGAGATCATGTAGTCGTTCTGGATGGCTCTCACCTCGGGCACAGAACCCAGCAGTTGCAAAACTGCAGTTGCAGCTGCAAAGCAACTGCAGCTTCTTTTGCAGCTTCTACTCACTCTTTAACGACTGCAGCTGCTTGACGTTGTCATCCACGGGGTGGATTCCTTAGTACCCAAACAGGCCAAAAGCATACGGGGTGTGCTATGCGGGATGAGCTTCCCAAAGTATCTTCCTGATCATCTGCCAAGTGCGTGGCATGGACCAAGTACCTCACACCATTCACAGAGCGAGGCAGAGATCCAACTCATGACTTCTTCTAGGATTCTAGGAGATCATCGCCTACTTGCTTATTGCATTTTTGATGCCTTTGGGATTGGTTGATTTGTGGATTTTTCGACGTTGAAAAAGCCTTCATTCCCCTGTCCAGCCTGGCCTTGGTCTCTTCTGCTTCTCACCAAACATCGGAGGAAAAACACTCACCCTTCCAGAACCCTAATTTGCGACCCCACATCCTTGGATACCCTGCTGATGGAAGACATACAGATTGGAGCTTCAACGCTCCCAGAAATGCAACGACTTTCAAGCTCAGGAACCCTCCATCGTTGATCAAAATTGTGCCCACATTAGCCACCAACATCAGGAGTGCAAGCGCTGCTCGCAAGTACCTGCCGAAACACAAAGCTGCACCGCAGGATCAGCTGGGGCGCTGCATGCAGAAAGCTCATGCACAGGGAAGGATTTCTTCCAAGCATTCCCCTTCACAACGTGAGTTAATGGCAGTTTGAAGCAACCCACAAAGATCCAGTCTGGTGGTCCTTTGCCAACCATACGGTGCCCGCATTTTGGGGCACCTGCTGCTGTCCCAGAGCTCGTGCACCTCCGAAAATCCGCCGTCCTTCGCGAACTCCAACACCTGGCACACAACTAAAGCACTGTGTCACACCCACGCACAGACACAAAGAAACAGAAAAAAAACTAGTGTATTCGTTTTTGCCACTCGTCTACTGCTGTCCTCTCTTTTTGTGCAACTCTGCCTGGAAGAAGTCGGGATACGACTCGTCGAACTTCGCCCAGGCGGCCTCTTCCAAACTTTCCTTAAGAGAGCAGCCAAGCGCTCCTCTCCCCGTCTCATCTTGTTCCAAAAAACTCGCGGCAGGGAAAGTGAAAACCCCGCCCCATGCTGGCTACAAGGTGCGGTTTGGTGAATGAATTCAGTCTTCTAATCCCAATCACACTTCGTGCACATGGTTCCTCAACTCCTCAGCATAACTAACTCGAATCTCAAACGAAATGTCCAAACAGAATGAGGTGGCCATGCAAAACGCCCTTCATCTCAGCTTCTCAGCTTCTCGCGTTGTGCGCAAAACTTCGTCAAAACCATGTACTGCAATGGCTATGGAGTTTTCATTGTTTTTTTGGAGTAGCATGATTCTGAAACGGGAGGGTGGCTGAAATCCAAGCTTCATACTCCTCTTCAAAGCTGGAAGTCTTTCGCGTTTCTGTCCTGCCTTTGCTGCCTTTGCCTCAGCTGAGGCGTAGATTCCAACATGAATCAGACAGGTTTGAAAAGACCTTCGATAATCTTTGGCATCTTCATCGAAAGCACCGTAATGCTGCTTCTAGGCTGACAAAGCAATGATGATAGAGACCAGCTGCTTCCTTTGCTTCCTTTGCTGCTAGAACGACGCCGCAGAACGTATGCTCTCTCCTCTGGCCCTGACTTCACGTCAACGCTCTCAACGCGTTCGATGTCCAGTTCGTTCGCCACGACTTCCATGGCTGCAGTTTCTTGGGCCGCAAGAAAATTTTTTGTCGAACGAAAACGACACAAGTCTGAAGATGTGAGTCTTGAATCTAGTAATGTTTCCTTCTTACACAGCTCACCTCCTAAGCCAGTGTGCTACGGCGATTTCTGCTGCAGGACATTTCAAAGTGCTCGGCGGGCAGCCTCGGAGAAGAATGCAATTTATGCATGACTTTTGCATGCCCAAATCAAAGGTCCGGTGATGAAAGCATCAACAACAAATAACGAACAGCTTTCCCCGCCAGAACATCTTTGAAGCGAGCGCTCTCTCGAGGAACAGCCTTAAATTTTCCGTCCAAAAGGCGCGCGAGCGGTGCGTCCTCGCAAAATGGAAGGAACATTAATAATCAACATCACTACCGTGGCGGTAGCCATTTGATTGCTGCAAAGAACTAGGGCAATTTCATTGCGCTAAATGGTGTCGTCATGTCACATGCCTCTGTAAAGGGGTGACTGGGCAGCAATATATGTTGTTCTTCACCATTGCAGTTCCCAAACACACTCCAATGTTATCCTTCCTCGTGGTCGTCTTTGAGTCAAAGCTTGACAGATCTCACAAGCAATTCAATGCAAAATGGTTTGAGGAGCTTGAGCCAAATTACATCATTGGAATCACTACAGCTTGCACCTACAGCAGAACAACCAGAAGAGTGCGTAAGGGTGAAGGTTCTACGCTTTTACACCCCCCACGTCGATTGGCTACTCGTTGCTTGAGACGAACCATACGTTTACACAACACAACTCAGAAGTGAGCAAAGTAGGGTGGAATTCGAATAAAGTTAAGCGCCAGGGAAAAACATAGAACGCCACTGTGAGACATCATCATGCACTCTCAGCGTGCGTCAAGGAAAACCCTAGAACGCAAAGAAATTTACATAGCGGGCCAACATGGCGATTGGAATTGCGAGCATGGCATTGATCTTTGTCTCATTTTAGTCGTCCATCGCGCTGAGGTCAAAACTTGGCACATAGGTGGCTCCCCTGCGAGTGTCATCGGTGATCTGCTGAAAGCTGGAACGAAATAGAGAAGCAATTCAGCTTTGGCCCAGCATTGGACGTTTTCCTGTTGTTACCGATCACGCATTGATTATGTTGGTAAATCTTCTTCTGTAGAGGTCGCGGAACTCTTTGCCATACGGGATGCCCATCTGCTTGCCAATGTAAAGATTCTCGGGGTTGAGTCTCTCTCGCTTCTTCTGACTTTCATAGAGTCCCTCGATTCAAATGTGAAAGACGCCATCTGCATCTTGTCCTTCATCTCGTTGAAGCTGAGGGAGACGCAGTCATCCAGAAGATCCTTGCGCTGGACAGTTAGATACGCGAACACCTCATCCAACACATGGCCGATCTCCTCCACATTCAGGCAAACTGCTGGTGGTTAAGTGGCCTCACCATTGGACAGAGTGAGGTTCTCATTCCAATGATCTTCGCGCTCGCCATAAGCATCCTTTTGATCTTCTTCATCAAGAAGGTTGTACTTCATGGATCTCTTCGATGTGAATCGACGCAGCATCACGCTCAGTGAGCTCGAGTTCGTCTTCGAATTGATCATCAGTTGCTGTGAGTTGCGCTGTCGGATCAACATCTGCGCCCTCCTCATCGACAGTGATAGTGATTTCAAAATCAAGAGTGCGGGGAGCCCCCAGACAACTCTGATCCATGAATCTTCCCGCGACACCATGTGCATCACTTGTCGACCTTGAATCCTCTTGAGGATCATGTCCACATTGTTCCGATACGTGATAGGGATGTCGATGTCAGCCCTGAAATTTTCCGCGATTTTCCCGATGAATCGGTTGGACGCCATGAAACATTGTTCTCCACCCTCTGTCTCGCAAACGAAGTCATCGACCAACGATGGTGGCTGGATTTGAGCTCCCATTCCTCGAGAACCGCTCAGCTCGAAAATCATTTGGACCTCAGAGAATGGTATTGCGCGGCGTCTGCAGAGAATCACTCTGTTCGTTGCCAATCTCGCACCATAATCAAACGAAGTGGTAATCGGTACATAAATGGCAATGCCTTGTTCTTTGTCGTCTGCAAACCGGTTCATAAAATTTGATGTGTACCTCCGATCTCATGGCAGAAAGGGTGAGAAGTAGACATCCTGCCGTCGGTGTCGAGGACCTCCGGGTGGAAGTCCAGATCTTGCGCTCCAAATCAATGTGCTACGGCCTGTCATGCTCCGACAGCAACTTGGACCCTCGGAGTGATAGGGATGGACATCCAATCCAAATCCACTGCTCCGTTTGAATGCCCAGAGATGCACCGAATAGTGAGGGGACGAAGCCAGCCCATGTAAGGGTGTTAGCGTTTTGGACTCTGACAGGATCAGCCAATGCCTCCTTCAAAGCCATCCATCCTGGTGTGTCAATGGAAGTCTTGAGCGTGGCACATATTTCCATCCATTTCTTACCTTTTCGGCTATCCCACTGCCATTGCTCGTTCTCAATTGCCAGGATGATTCCGCAGGTCCTTTGGTGAGAGAGTTCATCTTCTGTAGGGAGGGTCCGACCCTTCATGCTGTCTTTGTCATGGATCAATCTGTATCCTGTTCGAGACGGTGGTTGTGCTTGTACTTGCGAGGCTCTTTGTGATGTTAGCCCCAAAGTAGACGTCGTTGAAAATGTCGCTCATGGGAACCCACCCCCCGTTGTCCACGTTGGTGATCGACCAACCCTGGAGGAAGATATGCCTCAACCAAGTCGACAATCTCTTCCCGACCTGACGAATCTCATCTGGATAGAACGCACAGTCCTCCGTTCCCTACGTACCGAGATGGTAGCAGTGGTTGTCAAGGAATCTGCACCCTCTAACCGAATGTGGTCGCCAAAGGCTGACATGAACGAAAGGCTTCTCAGGGTACTCCATAAACTGGGGAACCTGGTTCTTCAGATTCTGCATGTTGGTGATTTTGTTTGACTCAACTCCCTGGGCGTACCCAGAGGAGACATGGGAGCTTTGCGGAAGGATGCAGGCAAATCAGTTGAAGTGGTGGTCGGCGGAATCTTAGGTGCGGGGCGCTTCTTGTGAATTGGAACCACCCTTGGGAATACTGTTGGAGCCTTTTGCGGGAAAAGTGTCTGGAGTTGGATCTTGCGCAGGTGGCATCTCAGCGTCAGCGGCATGTGCATCATTCACGGTAGGGCTCTCCCCCACAGTAGCAGCGATGGACCCAGTGCCCATGTCAACGTTCCCATCTTCTTCGACGGTTGGGACAGTCTGTGGCTGATCCGCTACAGAGAGTGGGCTGCCACTGTTCAAGTGCAAGAAGGCTTTCATGAAGGCGTTTGCTTCAGGGCAAACGCCTTCAGGATGAGCAGTCCAACACACAGCACAGACTTTCAAAGTGTCAGCAAGATCCAAAGTTTCTCCAAGGGCCCCAGCAACTTTGCATTTCTTCACTGCAATCGGGTTCTTGAGGTTCTAGCCCCTCCATAGATTCTCCCAGAACGGCTGGATCTGCTGCTTGATCTTCTCCGGGGGCTGTAGGAGCTTCGTCATCTTCGCCGGTGGCTTGGACATCAACAACCGGAGAATCACGAATCGTCTCATCCTCAGACTCCATCTTCGCGTCAACGGGGGTATGAGTGCGGCTCTTCTTCATGATCTTTAGGGCGTTGTTGTAGTCATCGAGAGTTTTGAGTGATGGCCATGAAGTTAGGACCGTGACCTATGATATGACCAAACTCCGTAGTGATTGTGTCAACAAGTATCGTGAATGCTCTGGATTTGAAACTGATTTTCCGAAGGTGCCTACACCGAATCTCGTAGAGAACAC